TGGGATTGCACGGCCATCTCTGCTGGAGAGCTCTGCATCGTTGCCACTGCTGCTGAGCTCGCCACGCAGGAAATGAGATTCAAACTGCCCAGACAGGAAAAGGAATTCAAATTTTCCCGGGGTGTGGCTGGTCAGAGCATCCGAGCTCGGACTGCTGTCCAGAGCGTCAACAGAGTGGTGCACTGTGGGATAGCTCCCGGAGCTATTAGCGTCGATTTCCATCCACACCTAGCCTAATTCAATATGGCCATTTCGAATTTAGCGCTACTCCTCTCGTTGGGGAGGATTACAGAAATCGATTTAAAGAGAGCTCTATGTCGAACTAAATAGCCTCGTGGTGTGGACGGGTGCAGGGTTAATTCGATTTAATGGTGCTAAATTCGACATAAACGCCTAGTGTAGACCAGGCCTTAGACAAGAAGGACTTTGGCCTCCGGAGGCCTCGTAAGACTGCTGGGTGACATCTGGTGAACTTTTAGCATACAGATAGGAACTTTTATTGTGTTAATATGTTTTCTCTGTATGCTGCCACAGTAGGAATAAATGTGTTAGCTTATAAAGCACTACATGGTAACTTGTGGCTGCTGGCAACTACAACTGTTCATAGCCTTCGAAGAGAAAGCAAAGCCCAGAGGCTGGCCGGTTAGGCAGTCTGGCTGGCTGCAGATAGCACAGTGTAAGCAGGGAACTGTGCAGTCTGGTAAAACCCCTGGCAGGAGGGACAGAGATAAGGGTGTCTACCCAAGAGAAGGGGCAGATGAGGCGCTGAGATCCTAGAGTGGGTGCCCTCAAGGGACCATGGAGGGGGAACACAGGTGCAGTTGTCCTGAACTGTGACAATTCTGATTAAAAAATTAGCACTATGCAGTATCAATGGATTAAGTACTTGGTAACTGACAGATCTCAAAAAGTTGTCATCCATGGAAAATCATCCGTGAATGGGGGTGTTTCTAGTGGGGCTCTTCAGGGATTGGTACCAGACCTGACTCTATTCAACAGTTCCATCCACAATCTGGAAGTAAATATCAAATCATTGCTGACAAAATTTGCAGAGTGGTAAACAATGATGACAGGGCAGCCACATAGAGCAATGTAGATCGCTTGGTAAGCTGAGTCCCCTCAAACGTGTTTTGATACAGCCAAATGCAAGATCATACATCTAGGAACAAGGAATGCAGGCAGTACCTACAGAGTGGGGGCTTGTGTCCTGGAAAGCAGTGACTGTGAAAAGGATATTGGGGTCATAGAGGACAAGTGACTGAGAGTGAATTCCTATGATGCATTGCAGCACCATTTCCAAGTATAAATATTTGTTTTCAGGTGCTTGGTTTCTGACAACAAAAACATGTCCCATGGAAACCAGATGCTGTTTGTGAAAAATGTGTTTTGGTGATAACCCAATTTTCAGTCCCCAATTTGGAGTTCAGACTAGATAACCCTAGCAGTCCCTTCTAATCCTATGAGTCTATGAATCAGTCGGAACAGTGTTTTTGTGGAAAATGTTTGGCCAGCCTTGGGGTCTAGGCCACCTGTGCCTCCCCTTCCCCCCCACTCCTGGGGCTAAAGGTGTGCAGAGCCCCTTCTCCCTGAACAGGGCCCCAGTGTGACATATGGACTCCAGGCCCCCACCCAGCGCTGCTTCCAGCTGGTAGCTACAGTTCTCAGCTCCCTGGCTACCAGCTTCCCTCCTCTCTGTCCCTCTCACCCCACTGGGGCTGGTAGAGGGATGCAGCAGGTAGCCGAGGGACCATGAGATCTGTTCAAGAGGCCTCCCCCACCCATTAGTGAGAATGGCATAGAAAAGTGACTCCTTCTTCCAAGCTCCACCCATCTAATAAGCCCCACCCATGTGAGTCACCAAATTTCATACAGTTTAAGGCCAGAAGAGACCATGAGGTCATCTGGACTGATCTTATGCAAGTCCAGGCCAGAGAATTCCCCCTTTGCTGTGGGCTCCACGCAGTTCCATTGAACTGGGAAGCATTTGCTGCCAATTGACTGAGGCAGAGGGAGTGGTACACTGCTGGGTTCTCCCTCCCTGGGGCAGAATTAAGGTTGTGGGGCTGTGTTGGGTGGGAGGCATCACCTCTACTCTGCAGTTCCTGGTCTTCCAATATTTGGGTTTTGTTTTTCCTTCTAACCTTCTCTAAGGGGGGAATCTAAGGGGCACTGTAACCTAGCATGTCCCAGTTGGCCAGAGCCTGAGTTTGAGAATTAAACTCGCCCATTCACAAGGAACCCAGGGCTCTAGCAAGAGCCTCTGCCATAAGCCCTGGAAGGGGTCTGCACAGGATCCTTAGTTGGGCAGCATGGTGGATCTCAGAGGTGTTCTAACTGAGGGAGCACGAGGCACTGCTGTCTGCCCAGGTTGGGGCTCAGGAACAGGGCAAGGCCTAGAGCAGGATTCTCCCATTCGTGTATCTGTCTCAACTCGGGTCTTTTCCCACAGCCTGATCTCAGGTTCTAAGCCTCTCCTCTGGATTCTGTCTGTGGACTCAGCAGGAACGGGTTGACATCCTGAGGTGTCCTAAATAAAACTTCTTAAGGAAGAGGGACACTTTTCTCCGATCTACTGAGTAATTCTGCCTCCTACTAGAGTAATGAGTTGTCAGTCCTCAGTTTCTGCTGGATCAGGCTTGAGAAGAACTTTTAACCTCTAGCCTAGGCTTTCTCCCTCAATATTCCTTTGGCTATTCTTATTGAATGTACACCTGTTGCTTTGAACCTCACTTTCCATTTCCCCTCTGATACCTTCTTTTTCTCTCTCACAAAGTCTGGTCTCTGTCCCATACCTGTCTTTTCAAAGCTAACCCCCATCTCAGTATTGCCAAATCCAATGTTTAAAAATCATAATCCCCTAAAATCATGAGATTATTTTTTTAAATCTCATGATTTTTTAAAGTAATATGTGTTGGTTCTTTTCATTTGCCTTTTGGTGTTTGAGTCTTCAGGGGTCACATTTTCAAGCTTTTCTCTGCAGCCTCAAGGTCTAGAAACTTACTTTTTTCACCAGTGGAAACTGAGATTCACCCATAAACACATGACTCTGGGAGCTAGGGTATTAATAAAATACCACATATTGCAAGACTGGTGATAAAATTGTGAGAGGGGTAACACTGCTTATTCCACTTCCTTTGAAATATTACATTGTATAAAACAATAAGCATACCTTTTTTGTTTTAATGTGAAAAAGTCAGAAACAGCCATGTTTCTTCACTAGAAAGGAATTGCTCAACAGTATTCCAGTAGAATGTTTTTCCATCAGAAGATGTTGATTTGATTAAATCAAAACATTCCTCAGGACCATATTGACTTCATTAAAATTTTCTATGGGAAATTATTGAAACATTTAAATTTGATGTTATCATTTCAACTATATTAATTATGTGATATGATATATGATATTATAATCCCCATCAATGGAGGCTTTTAAGAACAGGTTGGACAAACACCTATCTGAGATGGTCTAAGTTTACTTGGTCCTGCCTCAGCTCAGAGGGCTGGAGTAGATGTCTTCTTGAGTTCACTTCCAGCCCAAATTTCTATGAGTCTATAATAATATGATATAATGAAATACAGTCAAATTATAACATTAAAATGAAATGTTTAGATCTTACCAAAACATTTCCATAATGTCAAAATGAAATTGTTCTGGATATTTCATTTTGTGAAAAATTCTGGGAATTCTACTTTTTCTCTCAATTAGGGATGAAATGAAATTTCAGAATCTTGGAATTTTTTGTGGGACAGGAATTCTGTTTGTGACCAGCTCTCCTCTCAAGGAACATGCAGCTTAGTATACTGTATTTCTGCTATGGTAAAAAATAGCTCAAACTCAACCCAAAGGCCAATTTTCAGCAATTCCAGCCAATGCTGCTAAAAATCACATTTCACTCTTTTCACCACTCTTGATACACATTTCAACAGCTTTAATCACATTTGTACAATGAGGGAAAATGCAGCAGGTGGGTTTTACAACCAGTAACTGGGTGAAGGGGCTGGAAAGGAGGAGGTTAACACAAATAAATGATGCTAGTGATGGTAGTGATCAATGACTCCATGTCTAGTTGGCAGCCGGTATCAAGCAGAGTGCCCCAGGGGTCGGTCCTGGGGCCAGTTTTGTTCAATATCTTCATTAATGATCTGGAGGATGGCGTGGATTGCACCCTCAGCAAGTTTGCAGATGACACTAAACTGGGAGGAGTGGTAGATACGCTGGAGGGTAGGGATAAGATACAGAGGGACCTAGACAAATTAGAGGTCTGGGCCAAAAGAAATCTGATGAGGTTCAACAAGGACAAGTGCAGAGTCCTGCACTTAGGAAGGAAGAATCCCATGCACTGCTACAGACTAGGGACCGAATGGCTAGGCAGCAGTTCTGCAGAAAAGGACCTAGGAGTTACAGTGGACGAGAAGCTGGATATGAGTCAACAGTGTGCCCTTGTTGCCAAGAAGGCTAACGGCATTTTGGGCTGTATAAGTAGGGGCATTGCCAGCAGATCGAGGGACGTGATCATTTCCCTCTATTCAGCATTGGTGAGGCTTCATCTGGAGTACTGTGTCCAGTTTTGGGCCTCACACTACAAGAAGGATGTGGAAAAATTGGAAAGAGTCCAGCGGAGGGCAACAAAAATGATTAGGGGGCTGGAGCACATGATTTATGAGGAGAGGCTGAGGGAACTGGGATTATTTAGTCTGCAGAAGAGAATGAGGGGGGATTTGATAGTTGCTTTCAACTACCTGAAAGGGGGTTCCAAAGAGGATGGATCTAGACTGTTCTCAGTGGTACCAGATGACAGAACAAGGAATAATGGTCTCAAGTTGCAGTGGGGGAGGTTTAGGTTGGATATTAGGAAAAACTTTTTCACTAGGAGGGTGGTGAGGCACTGGAATGGGATTACCTAGGGAGGTGGTGGAATCTCCTTCCTTAGAGGTTTTTAAGGTCAGGCTTGACAAAGCCCTGGCTGGGATGATTTAGTTGGGGATTGGTCCTGCTTTGAGCAGGGGGTTGGACTAGATGACCTCCTGAGGTCCCTTCTAACCCTGATATTCTATGATTCTGTGCTGTGGTAACTGGGTCAGCTACATCACAACATAGCAAGGAAGGATTAAATGACAAAGTAGATTTGGCGGCTCTTGTTTGTTTCTTTCACATCTTCCTATTCCATTGCCTACAATTAGTTTGTAGATTCTGCTTGGTTCAATCATGTAATTGTTTATCTTCTACCTAATGTGAATGACTTTTTCTGCCCATTTCCTTTTTAATTTTTAGTCCCCAAAGTTCACGCCTTTGATAGGAGTGGAGGTCAGTGCTCCAGCAAAGTCCTTATCCATACACAAACTCACAAAGGTCTAATTAACATGGTGTAAACACCTCAAACTAAACCAAGCCAAGCAAGGTTGGAAATGATATGAGCATCACAAATACAGCTGTGCCTGTTAAACTAAATCAGTTTATAATCCTACCTTTAATTAGGGCTTGTCTACATGGGGAAACTGACTGGCTACTGCTATTTTAGAACAACTCCCCACATGGACCCTAAATCTCAATACGAGAGTGTCCATATGCGGTGTCATTAAGGGATATCTGTACCACTTCAAATTCACACTCTCCCTTATTCTGGAATAACTTCCCTGCTCGGAGAGGCCCTTAGACTGGGGTAATTTTTTGTCTGTAGAGACCTCACCTAATCAATTTAGGCTAAACCAAAATAAGCCTGGATTATAGCGTGTTCACACAGCCTATTAAACCAGGCTAACATCACCCTTTAAGTTAAAAGGCTGTGAATGAGCCCCAACTCCCTTCTGCACTATACCCTCTGCAGTAACACCTGGATTCTGACAGAGGCCTAGCCCTCATTTGGGAGGGGACTTGGAAGGTTTGTCTACCAAGTGGGTTCTCTGGTGAGCGAACAGATTTGATTTCTGAATGAAGCTTCTCCCGCACACGGGGCACTCATAAGGTTTCTCTCCTGTGTGGATTCGCTGGTGCCTGCTGAGGTTCGAGCTCTGAGGGAAGCTTTTCCCGCAGTCAGGACATTTATAGGGATTCTCCTCTGTGTGAGTTCTCTGATGGGAAGTCAGGCTGGAGCCGTAGCGGAACCTTTTCCCGCAGTCAGGACACTCGTGGGGTTTCCCCTCCATGTGGGTTCGTTCGTGGGAAAGAAGGCTTGCGATCTGAACGAAGCCTTTCCCGCACTCGGTGCATTTGTAGGGTCTCTCCCCCGTGTGGATTCTCTGGTGGGTCATGAGGTTGGAGCTCTGGGTGAAGCTCTTCCCACAGTCGGGACATGGGTAGGGGCGCTCTCCCCCATGGGTTCTCTGGTGTCTGATCAGGTTGGAGCTCTGGCTGAAGGCTTTCCCGCAGTGAGTGCACTTGTAGGGCTGTTGCCCCGTGTGGGTCCTCTGGTGTGTGACGAGGGTGGAGCTCCGATTGAAGCATTTCCCGCAGTCTGGGCAGATGAAGGGCTTATCGCCCGTGTGGGCTAGTTGATGCCTCAGGAACCCAGAGCTGTTCTTGAAACATTTCGTGCAGTCGGGGCATTTGTAGGGTCTCTCTCCCGTGTGCACTCTCTGGTGAATGATGAGGTTCAAGCTCCGGCTGAACCTTTTCCCGCACTCCTCACATTTGTAGGGTTTCTCTCTGGCACTGTTGTGACTCCTCTGGTGCAGGCTGAGGGCGGAGCTGCAGGGGAAGCTTTGCCCACATTTACCACAGGCGAGTGATCTCTGCTCAGCTGAGTTTCTTTGTTGGACAGCGTCATGGACGTTCTTGTCCCCTCTTTTCCCACGAGTAGATTTATCCAGTCTCTCCTCTGGCTGGTTTCCATGTGCCCTCTCTGGCCTGAGCTGACTCTCACAGGCTTCTTCCTGCTCAGGGCTCTGGGAAACATCCCCTTCAACTCTTCCCAATACTATCCCATGCAGTTCCACTGGCTCAGCATCTTCCTGCTGAGATTTCTCCTCCTCATTCTCACTCACCATCCCATCACCTGCTGGGACAGAGAGAGAACCCAGACAGGAGTCAGTCCCTGTGGCTGTGGGAATGGGAACCCCAGAAAGGGGAACTAACCCCAATATCTGCCGGGGAGATGGAAAACTGACAAGATATATTTCCCACAATCAACTCCTCAGAGGAACGAGGGGAGGGTCCACAGCCAGATGTCAGATTGGACTGATCACCAATTTAAATTCTACTGGGGGTGTTTGCAAATATATGTATATTTAGGCAAACATATTCATATTTAAATTTTACTGGGCTTTTGTGGACTGAAATGGATCGACAGCTGAGAGTGGTCTCTGTCCCCTGGCGATGCTGCCCCCTGCCATTCTCCCAGCCCTGCGCACTGCGTGTATGCTACACCCAACCCCAGCTATGCCCCACTCTGGTGTCACAGAGTTTAAGGCCAGACGGGACCACCAGATCATCCAGACTGCTTTCCCACATATCACAGGCCCCCAACACTACCCAGCACCTACACACCAAGCCCAACAACCAGAATTAGACCAAAATATCATAGGCCACAGGAGACTAGACTTTTGTGTGCCACAGGCAGAGGCAGGAGGGACTGAGGTGCACCAGTGCCCGAGGCCCCGCCAGTGGCAGCTGAATGTCAAAGTGAGATATACGTGGATAATCCTGGCATGTGACCCGCAATGCAGAGAAAGGTGTGAAAACTGCCAATCTGCACTGGGGAAAAATTCCGTCCTAGCCCCACATATGGCGACCAGACAAACTCTGAGCATGGGAGCAGGAACCAGACAGCCTAGCACCTGAGAGAGAGAATGCTCAGTGCCACCTCTGAGCTCTGCCCACACTATCTAGTACCCATCTCCAGCCATGGGGATACTTCAAAGGAAACAGATTTAAAACACCCCACATCCCTTGAATGCATTGGGGGGAATCCCTTCCTGACCCCTGCACTGAAGCCCTCAAGCATGTGCTTTAGGAACATAAGACAGGAACTGGAAAGGACCCCCAGGCCAGCTGACCCCTTTCCCATCATATACAATCCCATAGCACTATCTCCCTCATTAATTTGTCCAGCTCTCTCTCAAAAAGCATTAAGTAGTTTGTCCCCAGGCTAGAAACCATCTTTTAATTTCCGACCTGAATTTGTTCACGGCCAGTTTATCCCTATGTGTTCTTGCCCAACGTTGTCCTTTAGCCTAAAGAGTTCTTCTCCCTCCCTGCTGCTCCCCGCACCCCCCGATGTATTTATAGTGAGAAATCACATCCCCTCTTAGCCTTCATTTTCCTAGGCTAAACAAGCCAAGTCTTCTGGCCTCCTCTCAGAAGATTGGCCCTCCATGCCCCCGATCATCCTACCAACACTTCTCTGCACCTAGGCCACTTTGAATTCATCATTTTTGGCCATGGGTGACCAGAACTGCGCCCAGTATCCCAGACAGGCTGATTCCAGCGATTCCCCTGAATCGGGCCCCGCACCTAAAAGGGCCCCACGCCCTTGCTGCCGCCTGTACGCAGTACCGGGGCGGGTAGTCAGGCTTCCCCAGGGGGCAATTTAAAGGGGCTGGAGCCCCAGGCCCTTTAAATTGCCACCAGAGCTGAGCCCCATTTCTGGAGCCCTGGGGTAGGGCTGCGGGGCTCTGAGGGCTATTTAAAAAATCCGGGGCTCCCCTTGCTTCTACCGCCCCGGCCCTTTAAATAGCCACGGGAGCCCCGCTGCTTCCTCAGGGCTCCGGCAGCTATTTAAAGGGCCAAGGTGGTAGAAGCAGGGGAGCCCCGGGCCCTTTAAATAGCCCCCAGAGCCCTGGGGTAGCGGGGGGCTCTGGCGGCTATTTAAAGGGCAGGGGCTCCAGCTGCCACTGCCACCCCGGTCCTTTAAATAGCCGTGGGAGCCCCGCCGCTTCCCCAGGGCTCCCTCGGCTATTTAAAGGGCTGGGGCGGTAGAAGCAGGGGAGCCCCAGGCCCTTTAAATAGCTCCCAGAGCCCTGGGGTAGCGGGAGGCTCCAGCAGCTATTTAAAGGGCCGGGGCGGTAGAAGCAGGGGAGCCCCTGCCCGCAGCCAGCCCCTGCTGCATCCCCTGCCCACACCAGCCCCGCAACCCCCACCTCCTGCCCTGTCTGCAGCGGCAGCCAGCCCCTGCTGCACCCCCTGCCCACACCAGTCCCGCACCCCCTGCCCTGCCCGCAGCCAGCCCCTGTCTCCAGCCAGTCCCGCACCAGCCCCTGCCTCCAGCCAGCCCTGCACCCCCTGCCCTGCCTGCAGCCAGCCCGTCTCCAGCCAGACCCGGACCCCCTGCCCTGCCTCCAGCCAGACCCTACCTCCAGTCAGCCCCGACCTGCCCTGCCCCTGCCCTCCCTCCAGCCAGCAACGTACGTAATATATAATTTTGTTATTATTTATATAGTTATGGAAAGTAAATAATACATGGAAGAAATGAAAGGGTTTTTTTATGTGTTTTGGTTTTTTTTAGTCATCCCTGCCGGGGCCCCGCCGAAAATGTTCAGATTGGGCCCTGCACTTCCTAAAGCCGGCCCTGATCCCAGAGGAGGTCTCCCCAGCACTTCGCAGGAGGACATCCACACACTTCCCTAGCTCCACTAGAAATGCCTCACCTCATACATCCTAGGATCACATTTGCCTGCTTTGCAGTCACACCACACTGGTGGCTCATAGTCATCCAGCCAGCGAACCCTGACTGACAGCTGCCTGGGCACTACACTCCTCACACCCGGCAGCCTCTCCATGCCCCTCTTAGCTTGGGATGTGGCAAAGGAGTGGGGGGGACCTGGGAGCCGATCGGCTGTGGGGAGCTCAGCCCCCAACCCTGCTCCTCCTGCTGCTGCCCCGGCACAGACACAGCTGGCAGGATGCACGCTGGAGCTGTGTGCCCGGGGTGGGCAGCGCCCTGGCTGGGGCAGGTAGGCACTAAGGGGTGGAGACGGGGGCAGAGCACAGACACAGCCAGCAAACCCCAGGGCTAGGTCCTCGGCTGATGCCCTGCAGGGTCAGAGCAGCCTGGGTGCAGGGGGGAGGGGGAGCTGTGAGAGCCAGAGCCTGGAGGGGGCCAGAGAGGGCAGCAGCTCTGGGAGTCGCAGACCCCCGTCCGGGAGCAGAGATGGGACGATGAGGAGGCGGTGGTGCAGAGTCGCTTTCCTGTCGGGCCCCAGCCTTTTCCCCCGGGTCTCTCCCCTCACCTGCAGGCTCCGGCTCAGCAGCTGGTGTCGGCAGAGCCCGGGGCTGCCCCAGGGGCTGGTTCCAGCCCCCGGAGAAAGTCCCCCCGGCTGGGCACAGAGGGGCGCTAGGGAAGGGCTCTTAAGTTCCCGCACAGACCCAGCTGGGGAGCAGCAGCGGCTCAGCCCTGGCTCCCGGCTCACAATGGAGGCGACAGGAGCGTCTGACCCGGGAAGTCCAACCCCCGATGTGCTGAGCAGACAGGCACAGAGAGCAGCAGCCGTCTCCCTCCCGGAGTAATAAGCAGAGCAGGGCCCTCTGGTGTTATTGGGCATTATTTCATTAGCCAGCTCCCTGCCAGAGCAGGGTCCGGGTCCAGACGGGGCTGCTGCCCATTGTGGATGGATGAATGGGTTTCAACACATGACAGAATCTTTCACGATAGATTAATCTTCAATCCAGGACACTCTGGAGGGCAGGCAACCCTAGTTCAGAATTGCCAGTGTCTTCAATCCCAGCTGAGGTTTTTCTCCCCGCCCCTTCCCGGAGAGTGGAGAGAGAGAGAGAGAGAGAGAGAGAGAGAGAGAGAGTCAAAAACCCATCCCCCCTCCACCCACACGTAGCAAGCTCTCCACAACCCCCAACCACAAGGAAACTCTGCAACCCCCCTTCAAAAGTCACTTATCGCATCTGGGGAGGTGATACATCTAGATAAGATTGATAAAATCATCTGTCTCCGCGCTCTCAGGTGACTCAAACCATCTCTCGCACACCTGCACCATGCACTTGCGTATTGGTGGGCAGACAGCTGTTGTATTTTCAACAGTTTTGATCTGTTATTGCTTAAACCACAGAAGTGGGAACACAGCAGCATCTTCAGCTGGACACAGAAACTTTTAAGATTAGCTATCCCAGTGTAGGGGATCCCACTGTAGGCCCACGAACATGCCCCCCTTCCCCCCCCCCAGCAACTGGCAACTGGCAAATCCATAAAAAACCCAGCAACGCTGGTCAAATATGGGCCAGGTGGTAACCCCACTGCAAAGGGAGAGAGGGGGCAGATCCTAATTGCTCCCATCCCAGTCCCTGAGCTCTGGAAGATTGCTCCTACCTCCCACCCTGTGCTCCTCTGGACAGGAATAGTCACTACATAATAGTCACTCCAGATCTCCCACTTCCTCCCCAAAATAAGGGTGAAATCCTGAGCCCATCATGAGGCAGCCACTCCCATCCTTGCCAACCTTTTGCAGAAAACATCCTTTGCCAAGGGCCCCTGAGCTCAGCTGGCACCGTGAGCTCTGTCTGTGCAGGTAAAGGGGTGAGACATGGATTTTAGACAGTCCAGATGAGAGGCTCAGGGCTCCTGCTGTCCCCTGGGGCTGGAAGAGTTCCAGAAAATGCCGTACAGTGAGAGATGAGGAGGCCCTGTCCTGCCTGATGGCCCAAGACCCTACATCCCAGTTGGGCAAGCCCACTGACAGCAATTTGATCTCCCCGCTTTTCGCAGTGTTTTCCCTATAATCTGGAAGGGGAGTGGGGATTGAAGAATGTTGAACGTGTATTTACACAAAAACACAAACATTATCTCCCCACATGTCTTTTGAGGGTTATTTATTTTGCAGGATGTTTAACCCTTTCTAGCCATGCATCACACCCTGTCAGATCCCAATCTAATTGTCTGTTTCAGCCCCAGAGCTAGCTTGCTAATGTCAAGGCCAATGTGACATTTTCTGTGGATTTTAGAAGGGGAGGGCACAATACCAGAAATCCAGTTGCAACCTGAACTGCAGACCAAGCGCTATCACTCCATCATGGATGTAGAGGACCTGATTCTCTGCTCACATGCACCAGTTTTTACACAGCTTTGCCTTCTGTAAGCTGCTCCTGATTTTAGGTCTGTGGAGGGAAATCAGAATCAGTCCCCCAGCACCACAATTACATCCAGTGCTTTGCATCAGCAGAGCCCAGAGCACTTCACAAAAAAAGTCTGTATCAGTATCCCTATGTGACAGGGAAACTTAGGCATACAGAGGGGAAGCAACTTGCCCAGGTCACCCAGCAGGCCAGGGGCAAAGCCAGGAATGGAATTCCGTCTCCTGATTCCTGATCCAATGCTCCATCCACTAGGCCACACTGCTTTGAAAAGAACCCCCACCAAGCTGGGGCAAAGACTGGAAGATGACAGTCTCTCTCTCTCCAGCCCTCGGCTTTGGCCATTTGCTGTAAGTTATTTATTCTTCTGGGTTCCAAGACATTATCATCACCATGTGTAGTTCTCTGCTGTTACACATAAAATATACATATTGGTGAAATGATTTTAATTAATCCACATAATGAATTCTTGGGAAATATGCTGAGGGTCAGTTTTCTTAGCTAAAGTCCAGGCTATAAAATTAATATAACATATTAAGGCCTTAAAAGCCAGAGGTTAAGCGACCAAGGGGAGCTAGCCAACAGGGGAGTTTGAGAGGGAGTTTGTGGGAGGGAGTCATTATATAATCGCTATGATTAGGAAGGGCCACATCACCAGTGCCAATGCTGCTCCTGTCTCCTCCACCTGCGCCTGTATCCAGACAGACAACCATGGATACCTCTACCCAGATCCTGGTGTGGCTTTGCAGAGACAGTGGCCTGCATTTCCCACTCACAAAAAGCCAGGAAGGGGGACCATCCAGTGTGAAAGCTGCCTGATGGTGTAATCTCTCAGGAAGCAGGTGGGAGAGGTGGAGGTGGCTAGGCTGAGGAGCATCTGTGCCCATGAAGAATTCCTCAAAACTATTCATATGGAGACATCCAAGGCTAAGGAAGCTATCCAGCTACAGAGGATTGCTGTAACACCACCGGGGAAGGAGGATATGGCTCTGTCACAGGGAGGACACTGGCTGCTGGTTACTTTGACAGCAGGCAGTGCTCCAGCCCTATTCCCAACCCACCCACCATGGTGATGGAAAACTGTTATGCTGCCCTGGCAACAAGCGATGAGGAAGTTCCCCAAAGTTGGAAGAGGAGAAGCCATGTACCCTCAAGGCTGGGAGGATCGCAGCCACCACTCCCAGGAGGAAAAGTAGGGTGGTAGTGGTTAGTGACTCTCTTCTGAGGGGGACAGAAGCACCCATCTATCACCCTGACATGGCATCTCAGGAGGTCGGCTGCCTGCCAGGAGCCCGTATCCGAGACGTTATGGAGGGATTGTCGAGGATCATCCGGCCCTCTGACTACTACCCCATGCTACTCATCCATGTGGGCACTAATGATACTGGCAGGTATGACCCTCAGCAGATCAGAAGTGACTACAAGGCTCTGGGAGTAAGGGTGAAGGAGTTGGGAGTGCAGGTGGTGTTCTCTTCGATCCTTCCACTCAAGGGTAGGGGCCCAGGCAGAGACAGATGCATCCTGGAGGTGAATGCCTGGCTGCGAAGATTGTGCCGCCAGAAGAGCTTCGGCTTCCTTGACCACAGGATGCTGTTCCAGGAAGAAGGACTGCTAAGCAGTGATGGGGTCCACCTATCGAGGAAGAGGAAAAGCATATTTGGATATAGACTGGCTAACGTAGTGAGGAGAGCTTTAAACTAGGTTCAAAGGGGGTAGGTGACCAAAGCCCACACATAAGTCAAAAACATGGAGACCTGGGAGAAGGGTCAGAATTTGGTGGCAGCATGGAGTATTATAGTAGGGATAAAGGAGAGACAAGACAAAAATGGGGATGGGGGGAATCAAATCAGTATCTTAGATGTCTGTATACTAATGTGAAAAATATGGGGAATAAGCAGGGAGAACTCGAAATGCTAGTAAATAAAGACAACTATGACATAGCTGGCATCACAGACTTGGTGGGATAATACACATGACTGGAATATTGGTATAGAAGGGTACAGCTTGCTTATGAAGGACAGGCAGGGAAAAAAGAGAGGAGGTGTTGCCTTATATTAAAAATGTATACACTTGGACTGAGATTGAGATGGAAATAGGAGACAGACTTGTTGAAAGTCTCTGGGTAAGGATAAAAGGGGTAAAAAAACAAGGGTGATGTCATGGTACGGGTCAACTATAGACCACCTAACCAGGAAGAAGAGGTGGATAAGGCTTTTTTTAAACAACTAAAAATCAACCAAAGCACAGGACTTGGTGGTGATGGAGGACTTTAACTACTCAGACATCTGTTGGGAAAATAACATAGCAGGGCACAGATTATCCAACAAGTTCTTGGAATGTATTGGAGACAGTTTTTTATTGCAGAAGGTGGAGAAAGCTACTAGGGAAGAAGCTGTTCTAGATTTGATTTTGACAAATAGGGAGGAACTGGTTGAGAATTTGAAAGTGGAAGGCAGCTTGGGTGAAAGTGATCATGAAATAATAGAGTTCACGATTCTAAGAATGGTAGGAGGGAGAACAGCAAAATAAAGACAATGGATGTCAAGAAGGCAGACTTTAGCAAACTCAGGGAGTTGGTAGGTAAGATCCCATGGGAAGCAAGTCTAAGGGGAAAAACAATTGAAGACAGTTGGCAGTTTTTCAAAGAGACATTATTAAGGGGACAAGAGCAAACTATCCCATTACATAGGAAAGATAGTAAGTATGGTAAGAGACCACCCTGGCTTAACTAAGAGATCTTCAATGATCTAAAAATCAAAAAAGAATCCTACAAAAGGTGGAAACTAGGTCAAATTACAAAGGATGAATATAAACAAACAACACAAGTATGTAGGGACAAAATTAGAAAGGAAAAGGCACAAAACTTCCTAACTGCCAGGGTGGTTAAGTGTGACAATCAGTAGTGACCCCCCCCCCTTCTCTTTCTTAACAATCTAGCAGCCGTTATGGCTACCAACGGTCATTAGGGGTAGCAGGAGCCTCACGTACACAGCTAGCCTGAACTTTTGAACTATCTTGTCTCTCCTGCCTTGTGGCAGAGGAGACCGGCTCCAAACCGGTTTTCACTGACCAGATAGCAGAAGTAAGGGGTCTGGCAACCACCAATCAAGTGTTAACACGGCAGGAGTCTTTGTCTGAGTGTGTATAAAAGATCTGTAAAATTTGTATAAGACAGAGTCTCTGTACTAAGGTGCAGAGCTCTCCTTTCTTCTGCAGAATAAGGGTATGTCTACACTACAAAATTAGGTCGGATTTATAGAAGCTGGTTTTATAGAAACCGGTTGTATGCAGCCGATTGTGTGTGTCCCCACATAAAATGCTCTAAGTGCATG